AGAGGGGGCAAAGGAAAAAAGATATTTCTATTCAATCCTAATCACCTGGCAGAAATGGTGGGGCTCCTCCTTAGCATGTTTATTTAATTTAGTCTTGATTACTCGTCCTGATTAGGTTGAGTGTGTGTGTGTGTGTGTGTGTGTGTGCCTCTACTCAAACATAAGGTCTCTGCACTCCAGACCACATAGAGGTGGTTTCAGAGTCTTCTCCAGAGAGGCATTGAGACTAAAGACAGAATTCCAATGTTCATTGCTAAGCCTGTCATAGAACATAGACTCAGTAAGGGCTGTGCATTTCAGCTGAACTGCATTGAACCCAGGGACCACCATCCCACCAGTCTTCCAGGAACGGGACTAACACAGAACCCCGTTCTCTCTGTTCCCCTGCACATTCCCCTTAGCCTGATAATTCTCTACCATGGCTACCAGAGTTGAACAGAAGTTATGTTAAGCATTCACAATGCATTCAGGGTGATCTTCTCCCCACCCCCACCATTTGCTTCCTGACCGTGCTAAGAAAATCAACCTTAGTCAGTGTAAATTACCCACCGTGCCGGGAGAGAAAGCATCTGTGAGTGGAGGGCAGCATCTAGATGTCTGGATGTTTCAGACATGCCTAGAACACAACCTGCACAAACCTGAACTGGCCATCTGCACCCCCACTCTGAACCTCCCCCTACACTTCACTCAGAAAATGGAGCCTCCAATCATCCATGGAGTTGAAGAGTTCCCCTGCCCCCCTCTACGTCCAATCCACAGCCAAGATTTATCTACCCGTGTGTGACCGCACTGGCTGGTAAGCGGTCGCTGCTTATCCACAAGGCCAAACGTTCAACAAGAAAAATCGTCAACTTTAGGGGCTTTGGTTTATTCAGATGTGGAGGGGTCAAAATCACTGAACGGGGAATGAAAAGCCTGGATTCAAACCCCAATGTCTCCACTTACCTTTCCCAAGCCTCAGTTTCCTCTGTCGTAAGGTGAGGACAGTGAACTTCCCTCCCAGACGGCATGTGTGAACTGAAGGAATACACAGGTCCCAGTGCGTCGTCGTTAGGCGACATCGGGCTGGTCAAGTGTTAACCTTGAGGGGGCGGCAGCGTTTGTAATGGTTAAATTACAAGAGCAAGCAGGTGGAGTCCTAGCCCAACCACCTGCCGGCTGTGAGTTCTTCATCATTCCTCACGCCTTGGTTCGCACATTTATGAACGGGTAACACTCGTACCAACTTCATAGGGTTATGGTGGGGATTAAGCGAGGCCACACATTTCAGGTCCTCAGTGTTGTGCCTGACGCATGTGCATTTTGCACTATAATTATTGTCTTTTATTTATTCCACCAGTGGTATTTCACTCCCACCCATTCTGAGGCAGAGGCACCCACACCCACCCTCTTGATTCACACATCTTCCTTCCAGCTTCTGATTGCAAAACCACCGTCAACCCAGGATGACCCTGGGCTCTCAAAGCTCTTCCCCATTCTCTCTGCCAAACCCACGGGCAGAAATCTTGAAGATGAAAGGCCGGAGAGAACACCCACCCTCCTGGAAGCCATCAAAGCCATCTTCCTCACTGCCTTAAATACAGCTCTGAAAGCAACCCAGCTCCTTAGGGAACTCAGGCCTGAGGCCCCTGGAGCTGGGGGTGGGAGAGTGGGAGGGAGTGGGATGGTGGGTGGAGTCCAGAAAAAGGAAGTTGTTTGGGAGTTGAAACAATAAAGGAAATTCAAGTTAAGACAGCAAAAAAGGATATCCTTTTTGCTAACCAGATCAGCAAAAACAATGTGATACAAGTTGCCCTCCGTCGGTGGGGTGGAGCTGGAAGTCACCAGTGATGAAAGTTCAAGCTAGCACAACCTCTCCCAGGGCGGCTGCCCGCTCCCATCGAAAAGCCCAAACCTGCATAACCTTTACCCTCCCAGCTCTCAGACGCATGTTTTCTACAAAAACACACATGCACAAATATGTGTGGACAAGAGGGTGCATGGAACACACACACAGAGAAAGCTGGAGATAATTAAATGCCCATCAACAGGGACACGGATCATATTCCACTGGAATATTCCATTGGGGTGTTAAGTATCTCTTTAAAGAATGCAGTAGAGCCTGTGCTCACAAGACCTACGTGCAAGTGACACAAAGCAGGTCACAGATCTCTAAGTATTACAGGATAAGTATTATTAGAAAGAAAAGAAACACAACACCACATTTAGGCACATGCGCGTACTCAGGCTGGAAGCGGAACAAGTTAGGGGGCTCCCCTGGAAAAAGAAAGATGACGAATAGCTTTCTTGACATAAGAAAAGTCATTTTAGGGGGCGCCTGGCTGGCTCAGTCCGTTAAGCATCCAACTTCAGCTCAGGTCATGATCTCGCGGTTCCTGGGTTTGAGCCCCGCCACGGGCTCTGTGCTGTCAGCCCGGAGCCTGCTTCGGATTCTGTGTCTTCCTCTCTCTCTGCCCCTCCCCGGCTCACGCTCTGTCTCTCCTCTCTCCCCAAAATAAACATTTCAAAAAAAATTAACAAATTTAAAAAAAAAAGAAAGAAAGAAAAGTCATTTTAGGCCCCCACCATCTTGAGATCTGCAAAAGCATTTCTTGCAGAATTTTCTTGGGGTATCTTGAAATTGCAGAAGAACAGACCCCAGCAGATAATGATTTTAAGGGTGGGGGGGGGGGAGTCGGGGAGGTCTGGTAAGACTGTAAGAACAAACAGCCACTATCAGGCCAGGAGCCAGGCTAATCATGTCAAGACAATAAATCAGTGGTCAAACCACCAGTGCTGGTTCAAATGTAAAGATTAATCTGAGGCACATTCTTGAGTTATCTTTGCAGGATCTAAACCCCTCTGAGCACTCAGATGCCAGACCGACCAGAGCCAGAGAACTGGTGATGCTGACTTCTACCCGGACTCCGTCACCTTAAGATGACTTTTGCCCTAATTCCATGCTGAAGCCCCTTCATGAATATGCATGCCCTCCTACCTTAAAACTTGCCCAGTTTTGCTGTTCAAGGAGACATGGCTCTGGGAAACATCCCTGGTGCTCTCCTTTACATGTGGCAAGTAAAACCCCTCCTCTTCCTAGTCTTTGGCTAGGTTGTGTCTTTTGGCCTGACGCTCACCGAAAGGTGCACCCAGTTTCGGGTAACAAGGTGTGCAAATGCACAGGAAAAGCCCCGCAAGGGTGCCCTCCACACTGTTGAAAAGCGGATGCTGACGGTGAGTGGGTGGAGCACAGAGGATTTGGGGGCTAGGGAACCATTCTATATGATCCTAGAACGGTGGGTACACGTCATCGTAAATTTGTCCAAACCCATAGAATGCACACCGCCAAGAGCAAACCCAAATACAAACCATAGACTCTGGGTGATCATGGTGCGTGGATGGAGGTTCATCAAGCGTAACGGGCCTCCGGCTCTGGTGTGGGATGTTGGTACTGGGGGAGCCTGTGCATTTGTGGGGGCGCACGGCATACGTGGGAGATCTCTGTACCTTCGCCTCATTTAGTTTCATTTTACCATGAAACTAAAACGGCTCTAAACGCTAAAGTTTACTTATAAAATAAACATGAAAACATTTTTCCAAAGGGCATACCTCTGGAGAGAGGGGAGAGAGCACTCGTGCTTTCCGCCGTAGACAAAAAAGGAAAAAAAGATCAAAGAAAAAAGAATATAGAAGTGAGGGAGGCGGCGCTTTATTGGTTGAAAAACCTCCGCCTTCCAACGCCATCTCCCACCCCTGCCATTCTTGATAAGTAGATTTAGGTCCTAACTTTAAAGATTCAGAAGGCTTTCAGAAATGTGCCTTGCTTTGTCTTCTTCGCCCGTTCCCCCTGCCTGAATCTGTTTGGCATCCGATCCATGAACGCCTCCCTGTGGGGCTGTGCTCCCCGCACAAGGGGCCCTAAGCACAGAGAAGGTCTAGGCAAAATTTATGCATGACTCAGTTACAGTCTTGCATGATTTCCCACTTGTGTCTTTTTGTAAACCTTGATTTAAATTTCGTTCCCTTAGCACATTCCCTCCCCTTCCAGATATTGTTGCAGTGGATATTGGGCTCTTTAAGACTTTCTCGGTTGCGAGTAAGAGGAGCTAAGTTAGCAAAAGGTGGGATTTATTATAGGCAATTCAGTAAATGTTTGTTGTTGCTGCTGCCCCTGCTATTATTAAAGGAGGGACCTGGCTGGCTTTCAGGAACAGCTGGATGCAGGAACTGGTCTCCTGCTCATGCTCATCACTGGTCCATTTCGGACTGGTCTTTTTCACTGGTAAGTGAAATCCAAGTCAAATCAGCTTTAGCAAAAAAAAAAAAAAAAAAAAAAAGGGCAGGGGCAGGGGGTGATTATTGGCTCATGGAACTGTGGCTTCAGAAACTGCTTCACATACGTGCTAGAACTGCATGAACCACATGCTTATCCTGGAAGAGAGTTCTGAAGTCAGTCCTACTCTACCCACGTGAACTCTCAGTGAGAAAATGGTGGTTTGTGCCATGGCAAATCAGGGTATTGTCACCAACAAAGGTAGACAGATGCTAGGTAGGCAGAAACAACATGCATCCACAATTCATCTTTTTCCTCATTCTCCTCTCTCTCTCTCTCTCTCTCTCTCTCTCTCTCTCACACACACACACACACACACACACACACACACACAAAACTGGCTTCTTCAGACACTCTGACCTTTATGATAGGACACGTGGCTGCCAACGGATCTTAAATCCACTTGGCCACACTATCTCAATCCCAAGCCCAACAATCTCAGTGAAGGTTTTGTATCAGTTATCTGCTGCTGCATAACAAATGATCCCAAAACTGAGTGGCTTAAAACAACAACCACATTCATAATCTCACATAGTTTCTGTGGGTCAGGAATCCAGGGGTAGCTTAGCTGAGTAGTCATGGCTCAGGGTCTCTCATATTCCAGAAATCATCCAAAGGCCAGACAGGGGCTGCAGAATCCATTTCCAAAATAGTTCATGCACATGGCTGGGAAGTTAGTTCTGGTTGTCATAGTTCTTCACCACCTGGGCCTGTCTATAGGCTGCTTGAGTGTCCTCAATCAAGCATAGCAGTTGGCTTCCCCTGAGGTGAGTGAAAGACAGAGAACATCAGCCAGAAACTATCCTTTTTATGACCTGCTTCAGAAGTCAAATACCATCATTCTATTCATTAAAAGCAAGGCACTAAGTCCAGCCCATATTCAAGGGGAGGGAAATTAGGCTTAACTGTTTGGAAGGAAGAGTATCAAAGAACTGGTGGATATATATCAACACCACTACAGAACTGATTAATCTTTCTTGGGTCAAGTTTTCACCCTTGAACCAATCAACTGTATCCAGAGGCAGGGTCAAGTGCTAACATGGCTGTTCTCTCTACTCGTGTGGATATGGATGGAAAAGCAGTTTCTAGAAAGAGGAGCTATACAACCAGAGAGAGCTCTTTACCTTTACCTCCAGCTCCAGAGAGAAAAATCCCAGAGAAGCGTTTCGATTGGCTCAGCTTGCGGCATATGCCCTTCTCAAGCGCCATCAGTCACAGGGGTCAGGGTGCAGGGTCTGGTGCCAGAATAAGGGAATGGAAGAGAATCCAAAATGGTCATGGACAATAGTATCTACACTGCGTGACTTTAGGTGGGCCACTTAATCTTTGTTAGGTCTTAGTGTCAACATCTCCTAAATAGTAATGATAAGGCCTTCCGTATAGAGTTGACTACTTTTTTTTTTTAGCTTTAAGTAGGCTCCATGCCCAATGTGGGGCTTGAACTCCCGACCCTGAGATCAAGAGTCGCATGCTCTACCGACGGAGCCAGCCAGGCACCCCATGGTTGCTACAACTATTAAATTAGTTGATATCGGTAAAGCACAATGCGTAGCCACATGAAAGTGTAGTCAGATGATCCTTGCTGCTACAAGTACCTAAAACTTACACTGGCATTTTTTAAAAAGTAATATATAATTGGAAAGTCTCAGGACCCACTCTTCTCGTTCTCTTGGTTCTTACTTCCTCACTGTGATTGACTTCCTCCACGAGCAGGCTTTCCTCATGAAAACAAAAGAGCTGCAGCAGTTCCAGGCCTCATGTCTGAAACCCACACAATCCACATACACACAACACACACACACGCACAGAATGTCTTCCTTCCAACATCACAAGCAAGAGTCCTGACGTTCACTCTGATTGGACTGACTTAGATCACATTCCCACCTCTGAACCAATCAGTGTCCAGGGAAATGGACTGTGCTGATTAGCTGAGACCAATCAAAACCCACCCTGATGGTGGGGGTAGAGTCGGTCTTCCAGGAGCACAAGGGGCAGGTGGGAAGAAGTGGAATAAAAACCAGGTACTATTAGAAAAGAGGGTCGGCTGGCTGGCCACCTCAACCCTTTTGTGTTACAGCAGCAGGGTTGAGCAGTTGCCACATGGACCATGTGGCCCACAAAGCCTAAAACAGTTACTCTTGGGTCCTCTACAGAAGAAGTTTGCAGACCCCTCCATGCAGGCAAGCATACGATTTCCATTGCAAGAGTGCTAAAAGTATCTATTTCTTTTTTTTTTTTTAATTTTTTTTTCAACGTTTATTTATTTTTGGGACAGAGAGAGACAGAGCACGAACGGGGGAGGGGCAGAGAGAGAGGGAGACACAGCATCGGAAAGAGGCTCCAGGCTCCGAGCCATCAGCCCAGAGCCCGACGCGGGGCTCGAACTCACGGACCGCGAGATCGTGACCTGGCTGAAGTCGGACGCTTAACCGACTGCGCCACCCAGGCGCCCCAAAAAAGTATCTATTTCTTTCACTCTCCTCTCCCTTCTCTTTTGAGAGACATCATGACAAACCAGCAGAGCAGGCACGTGTAGGCAGAAGGATCTTCCTAGGGTCCATCAACTCCCACCCCGTTGGCAATGACTAAACACGAAGCCACAGAATTCACATCAGGCAGAGGACTGGGTTGAGAAGAGCTTTCATGGCTGCTGGAGCGTATAGGCTCTGACTCCATTACCCACTGCAGAACTTCACCACTCAAAGATCAATGACGCAGCCTAGATGATGCTGGCAGCCCATGGGCTGCAGATCCCAATTTTTCCTCTGTGATAAATGAGGAGCAATCTCCAGGAGCTCTAGCCTGAGAGACAGCCCTAGTTAAATTACTTTATCGCCCAGCTGAGAGATGGCCAGCTTGGAGAAGAGGTACTCGGGCAGCATATTAACTAGAGTCAGCATCGACACACAGGCCCTTTCTTGGAGCAACAGACTCCTCCCTCCTCCTTCCCATCAAAGCACAGAACTCCACCCTGCAAGTGGCCACTCTCCCTGCCACTCCCTTGTGAAAAGAGACTGGGCATCTGCGAAGAATATGCTCGCCCTCCGTGCACACGTCCAGTGAGATCGCTGCTTGCATGTTTGCGGAGTGGCAGAGAACGTGTACATCATGGTGTCCCTGCAGACACTTGAAATGCTGGTCTATCAAGCTTAAAAGAAAGCTCCAGAGCAGCGGCTAGGTGCACGGGCAATGGAGAGATTCAGAATGGGTTTCAAATCCCAGCTCCTCAATTCACTATTGATCATGGTCAAGTATCTCAGTTTGGGGTCACTCAGAAACCTCCGCTGGGACAAGGGTTCGAGTGCAAGCAGGTGATTTAGGCAATGACCTCATGAAGCACCAGCAGGGGACTAGAGAGGAGATGGAACTATGCAGGGTATGTATTAAGGAAGCTACCAAGGAGGTCAACCGGGATTGAATTCTGTTGGGGACTCCTGGGAACCAGTGATGTTCCCCATCCAAGGAGCTACCTCATCCAAGGAGCAAGGGAGCTGGGGTATTTATACACCAACTTCTCCTATAAATCATTATTCGAGGGCTGCCCCGGGAGGCATTAACTCCCTGCCATTTCTGGCCTGCTATGCATAGGGACTCTGGTGGTCAGTGGGATCCCTCCGTCAAAGAGCTGCAGATGCTGGGGGTTGGAAGTCTAGCCCATGAACTCTGAAATGGTAAGACCCAAGGGAGTAAGTGTGGAGGGGCACCATTAACATACATTACAACAAGCACTCTGAATCCTCTGGGAGTCAGTTTCCTTACCTATAAAATGTAATAATACCTAATACCATGGGATTGCTTTGAGGGGCAAAGGCAATACCATAAGTTACAAAATTCAACACAGTGCCTGGTGCAAGTAAACATTCAATACGTGACAGCTCTGTTTAAAAGACTCAGGCTGCATGGGGCGCCTGGGTGGCTCAGTCGGTTAAGCGTCTGACTTCGGTTCAGGTCATGATCTCGTGGTCCATGGGTTCAAGCTGTACTGACAGCTCAGAGCCTGGAGCCTGCTTCGGATTCTGTGTCTCCCTCTCTCTCTGCCCCTCCCCTGGTCATATTCTGTCTGTCTGTCTCTCTCCAAAATAAATAAACATTAAAAAATAATAATAAAATAAAAGACTCGGCTACGAACTCAAATATGCAATGAATCCCTGGCTCATTTTTACAATCAACTCAGAACCTCCTCCCACCCCACCCCCCCATCTTATAGGGTTGGTGAGAAATTCAATCTTCATATTTTGAGGTGGTCCATCTTCATTTCTTTTTTAAGTTTTTTTTTTTTAATTTACTTAAGACAGAGAGAGACCAAGCATGAGAGAGAGGAGAGGAAGGGCAGAGAGACAGGGAGAGAGAAGTGCCCAAGCAGGCTCCATACTGTCAGTGCAGAGCCCGAAGCAGGATCGATCTCAGGAACCATGAGATCATGACCTGAGCAGAGATCAAGAATAGGATGCTTAACTGACTGAGCCACCCAGCGGCCCCGGTCCTTCCACATTTCTAAGGTGGCACGGAATCTGGGAGGCTTAATGTGGAGCTCAGGAAACAAAAGATAGGCCTCTGGTCCTCAGTTCCCTATGTGTTGCTAATGGGCTATCATCCAGCTCTCTACAGAATTGCTTAAGCTTGGCCACAGAAATCTTGTGCAGACTGAGAGCCCCAATAGCCAGGCTCCGTCTTCCTTAAGTATACCCCAGTCATTCCACACCACCGCATCCCAACCACCAGGGGCATTCCAGCCATCACCCTCAGGATCCTATGGAGAATCACAGCACCGGCAGAACTCCAGCCAACCCCCTTCTGGTGTTGAGGAGTCTCCCTCCACTCCCACTGCTTCTGCCATTTCCCTGCTCCTCAAGGGCACTCGTCTCCCTGTCCTTCCCTTTGAGACAATAGCATCATCTAGGCTGCACATCACTGTCGAGCTATGAGTGGAGACGTTCTGTGACAGGCAATGGACTCAGAGCCCTTCACTCTCCTACAGCGTCCCTGAAAGCTCTCAGTAACCCAGTCCTCTGCCTGATGTGAATTCACAGGCTTTATAGGTAGGTCATTGGCTACGGAGTAGGTTTTGAGTCTCCCTGGGACAGTTCTGCCTGCAGACGACACTTGTCCACTTTGTCATGATGCGTAACAAGACAGAAGAGGAAAGAGGGAAGGAAACAAACATTTATCGAGTACCAATAGAAGCAGACACTGGACGTCTGCCTACCTCATGTCCATCCTCTTTTCTCCTTTCTTAGCAGTATCCAGCAGAGAGGAGAATTTGCAGATAACGCCTCACATTCCGATTCATCTCTTGTAGGAATAAAACCACAAATTAATATCTCAACGAATTATCCTGCCTTATAAAACTTTGTGCAACATCAACTATCATCTCATACCAAATTCTAATATAAGCCAGGAGCAAGAGCCATTGGCCTAGTGGGAAAAGAAAAAGCCAAAACTAGAAATTCTATTTGTTTGGGGTTTGGTGGTTTGGTTTTGCTTTGCTTTGCTTTTTCCGGGGAGAATTAACAAGTTAATTTCTGTAGAGGAGAGTGCCTGGTATACAGTAAGCACATACTAACTGTGCTGTGTGGTCCAGCACAGCAGATATGCCATTCTGAAGACATGTTCACACTGTAAGAAACAGAACTGTGTTATTTCTCTGGGAGTGGCCAAATGTCTGCTTCTCAAAACAAACAAAATAATTTCTTTCCCCGAGGGAATGGGAGAGTGATCCAGGAAAATATCACCTTGCCTCCTCACCATCAAAGGTACCAAATGCATGAAAATTTAATACAGATCATTTGCATCTATCTGGGGCTTTTAGCATTTCAAAATGGTCTCACCTCAAGGCTTTGCAAGTGTCAGAAACCCAGCTCAAAGTAATGAAGCCTAAAGGGGAATTTGCTGACCGGTATAACCTGGAAGTTCAAGTGTGGTTTGATCCAGGTACTCACAAGAGAGCATCAATACTAGGTTCTTTTCTGGGGCGCCTGGGTGGCTCAGTCAGTTGAGCGTCCGACTTCAGCTCAGGTCACGATCTCGCGGTCCGTGAGTTCGAGCCCCGCGTCGGGCTCTGGGCTGATGGCTCAGAGCCTGGAGCCTGCTTCCGGTTCTGTGTCTCCCTCTCTCTCTGCCCCTCCCCCGTTCATGCTCTGTCTCTCTCTGTCTCAAAAATAAATAAACATTAAAAAAAAATACTGGGTTCTTTTCTATTTTTCATCTCTGTTGGCTTCACTCTCAGGTTGGTGTTTCCCCAGCATGACTGACAGCAGCTCCTTGCTCACATCCCACCAGCTAGAGATCCCAGCAAAAAAAAAAAAAAAAAAAAAAAGAATATCTCTGTAGCAGTATCTCTCTCCTTAGTCCTGGAATGCATTCTTTTTTTTTTTTTTTTTAAACATTTACTTATTTTTGAGAGACAGAGCATGAGCAGGGGAGCAGCAGAGAGAGAAGGAGACACAGAATCTGAAGCAGCCTGCAGGCTCTGAGCTGTCAGCACCGAGCCTGATGTGGAGCTCGAACCCACAAACTGTGAGATCATGACCTGAACCGAAGTCAGATGCTTAACCAACTGAGCTACCCAGGTGCCCCAACATTCTTTTTTTTTTTAAGCTTATTTATTTATTTTGAGAGAGAGTGCAAGTGGAGGAGAGGCAAAGAGAGAGAGAGAGAGACAGAGAGAGAGAGAGAGAGAGAGAGAATCCCAAGCAGGCTCCACACTGTTAGCACAGAGCCGGGTGTGGGGCTAGCACTCATGAACCTTGAGATCATGACCTGAGCCACCCAGGTGCTCCAGTCCTGGAATGCATTCTGATTGGACAGCTCTGCAGTCATGTGCGTTACCTGAACCAATCATTGTGCTGGAGGATGCAGTACATGTTCTGACTGGCCAGGCCTCATGTTGCCTCTCAAGGGAGACCACCTGGAAGAAAGATGGCTTCTCACTGTAAATCAGAGTGATGTTACCAGAAGAGGGGAAAAGTATGCCAGGCTCGCATGCATAACTGATACCCCTGCAGGATCCACAACTACCATGTAGTTTTCAAGGGGCTCTATGATCCCCAAAATGATCATTTAGGGTTTTTGCTCCTTTTTAATCTCAAAGTCATGCACACTCACTGTAATGATTACTTTTATTTTACAGATGTTGAACCTGAGGTTCAGAAGGAACAAGGGACACCCAAATTCTCAGTCAGTCTGCCTCCAAAGGGCAGGGGGGTGGGATGGTCCTTAAACCACCGAGCAGATCTGTCCACTGTCTTTTCTTCTAAGGTTCATTTACAGGCCCAGGGGTCATTTTCAGGACTGTCCAAACTCTTCTTCTACTATATACATAAACCAAAGGAACCAAACAGCGTTCCTCACCCCTCACTCCCACAACCCAGGAAGAGCAAACTTCAGGAGCCCGTCTGTAGCCACCTGGCATGGCGACTGATCACCGAGCCAGTAAGCTTGGGTTGGGTTAATACAGCAGTCACCTGAGCACTTGTTAAAATGGTAGATCCCTAAGCTCCACCCCACACGCCTGGGAAATCACAATCTCTCAGGCTATGGCATCCAGCCTCCAAGATGGTCCCCTGTGATTCCTGCCTCCCAGTGAATCCCTGGTATTTGCAACCTTTTATTGAGTCCCCTCATCCCTGAATAGGCCTGACCTGTTGTCTTAGTTAGCTCAGGCTGCTATACCCAAAAAATACCTATAGGGGGTTGATGTAAACAATAAACTATTTCACAAGTTCTAGAAGCTTGGAAGTCCAAGATCAAGGAGCCAGGGTTCACTTCCTCGTTCACAGATCACCATCTTTTTGCTGTGTCCTACGTGGCAGAAGGGCGAGGGAGCTCTCTCTGTCCCTTTTATAAAGAGGTCACTCGTCCCATTCATGGAGGCCTTCGTGACCTAATCACATCGGAACGGCCCCTCTTCCTAACCTGTCCCATTGGGGATTAGGGTTGCAACGTATGAACAAGTGCTCAGTCCATAACACCCGTGTAACCAGTAGGCTATTGCGGAAGCTGACTTCTGTGGCTAGGTCATAAACAACATCACATCTGCCTTGCTCTCTCCTGAGTCAGTTGCTCTGGGGCAAGTCAGACACCATGTCACGAGGATGCGCAGCCAGCGTGACGCAGGTTTCCGCATGCCGAGGACCCGAGTTCCGTGACCTGCCAAATCAGTCCTCCAGCTCCAGCCAGGCCCTGGCCCACACCCTGACTGCAGCCTCATAAGAGACCACATGCCAAAACCAACCGGGCAAGATGCTACCTAATTCCTGACCCTCAAGAGCTATGTGAAGCAAAAATGCACTGTTGTTTTAAGCCGTTAGGTTTCAGGGTGATTCGTTATGTAGGAGTAGATAGTTACTGCACAGAGTGAGCCCAGAAATCTGCATGTTTTATAAGCTTCCTGGATAAGTCAGAGGTGCGTTCCGATCCCAGCCAACGCAGCCCCAGGATGTTCCTGCAGCATTGTATGGAGGGGACAGTGGCGCTCTCTCCAGGGAATTAGGAAGCAAATTATAGTCCACGCCCAAATTATAGACAGTGATGCAGGTACACAGCTATACCTTTTTTCAAAGGAGGCCTAGTGTTATTTCATGACACGTTGAATGAAACACCAGTCAGCATATACTAAGCCATCCTACTTTTGTTTCATAAGGAGTATTATTATGTAGTCCCTCGTGCCCCAGGAGTCACCCTCCTGTAAATATACAATAAAGGCTTTTATTCCCTAAAAAGAGTTTACTTCACTCCAAAAATTTCAGTGCACAAGCCCACAGCAGCCTGATCGCTTAGAATTAGTCCCAGCTGTTTCTAAAGGTTCCCCAAGAATCCATTCACCCCGGGTTCAGGAATGAGCCCACACATCCTTTTGACCTTGGCATCCTGCTGTCCTACCTCTGTATTCTGCTGGGACGACTCCCACCCCTAACCCCAGAGGCAAGATGCTGTTCCCCCGACGAACTTCACCACACAGCCCTCGAAAACAAACAAGTGAAACCAGGCTGTAGGGTTTGTGTTTTTTTAACACATGTGAAGTACCTGAAAATCCCACTGTAAAAATTAGTTTTAAGGGGGGATGGGATAGGCAGTGGAGGCAGTAAAGCATAGTGGTTCAAATCCCGACTCCGCCTCTTAAATCGGCCCCTTTGCCTCATTTCTCTGCTGTCCCGCTGCCCACACAATTCCAGGGCCACAGTTCGTATTGTTTTCTATGCATATAGCACCCCCTGGAGTTGTGCCTTCGTTTCCTCGTGTAAAATAAGGAATCTAATCATAATTCATAAGGTCATTATTAGGATTGGGTAGGTTAACTCCTTCAAATAAAGCCCTTCAACAGTGCTTGGCCCAGAGCAAGCATTCAACAAACGTCACCTGTTACTTTAACTGCCATCATTATTATCCACATAGACTCCACACACATAATCCCGCTGCCCTCCTTAGAAGTCACCCCAGTTTATTGTTCAAGCAGGCACACTTGCGGAATTTTCTTTGCATTTACGTACACATAGAAACACATTTTTGCATTGGTTTTGTGTTTCTCGAATGAATGGGACCATTCTCTGTGTATTGTTCCCCGGCGGCGTGTGTCAGAGAAACACCCACATCCACAGGTACGGATCTGGCTCACTCTAGTGCAGATATACCATGGTTTGTCTAAGAGTCCCCACCAGATGGACACTTAGTTTATTCCCGGTTTTATGCTATTACAAACAACCCCTTTTGCTTGATGCTGCGGAAAACGTCAATACATGCCTCTTTGTCCATCACACTAGCGCTGAGAGGAGATTCCTAGAGGTGGCATTTGTGGGCCATAGGGTATTTGCACTTCAAATGCTGACAGATCCTCAGGCTGTGCGACACTACAGACAGCAAGATAAGAGGAGGGCCTTTGTCACATGGAGATTAATTTAGATCCATTGCGTTTTTTTAATTTTTTTTTATGTTTATTTATTTTTGAGAGAGAGAGAGACAGAGTGCCAGTGAGGGAGGGGCGGAGAGAGGGAGACACAGAATCCGAAGCAGGCTCCAGGCTCTGAGCTGTCGGCACAGAGCCCGACGCTGGGCTCGAACTCACCAACAGCAAGATCGTGACCTGAGCCCAAGCCACACGCTCAGCCAACTGAGTCACCAATTTAGAACCACTGTTAAGAAAGTTTCCTCTCTCTCCATCCTGAAGAGCAGACACTACATTCAAGCTCCATGACAAGGAGCTGCTCGCTGAGCACTAAAGACACTCTGGAGAAGGTGGGAGGTGGGGGCGGGGGTCTCCACCCCTCCAAGTTCCCACCCAGCTCCTTCTGGACGAAGAAAGATAAGGAAGAAGACCAACAACACCTCCTCATGAAGCAGGGAGCATCTCCTCCGCCGAGAAGTCCTGTCACCGCCTGCAGTGAGCCTCCTGGCCCAAATGAGACAACTGCATTGGCTGGCAGGACATTTACAGCTCTGTCTGCTAGGTCTTATACATCACCACTGGGAGGGAGACCAACCCTGGAGACCTGGGTCCTCCTCGCCAAACCCTCCCTTTCGCCTCCAGCCTCAGGTGATGGGAAGATCAAACCTGCACGTCCCTCCTGCCACCATCTGGCCCTCAATCCCCAACCCCAGTGAGCAAGGGCTCAGATGAGAACACACACCCCATCTCCCAAGAGCAAACAAGCACATGCAGGCCTGCAGCCGCCCACCTCCAAGTGCGGAGGCAGATTCTTCTCCAGCCCTGCAGGGGCACGTTCTGCTAACACACACACACACACACACACACACACACACACACACACACACGGTTTGCATTAGGTTCTCCTTAGAATACCTAACAGCTTCGTCTGTGCTTCAGCATTTGGGCTTTCAGGGTCTCCCCAAGAACTGTAAATAGATCATTTTTCTTATTTTCTGCTCACCGAGAATCAAGGGATGTTCCTTCTCAAAGGTAAACTCCAGTCTTCTTCCCAGAAAGCAAGAAATGCGTGTAATGTATTAAATCAG